TTAAGGAAGTTCTAATACCTCCGTGCACATTTTCATGCTCTGCTCTAGCAAACTGCAGCACTGCCATTCATTCACCTACTCCAATTATGTGAGCAACGATGCCTCACAAATGAACGCTTCTTAAGCACTCTGAAAGGAGGCAAAGAACAGAAATGCTTCAGAAGGTCCAAAACTAAATATCACTTAAAAGAAAATAAAATATTGACTTAACATGTAGCCTTGCTGAAAAAAGAAAAAGCATTTTTGGAGCTTGGGGGTCCTGAGAGTCTCTTCCAACCCAAGCCATCCTATGATTCGGACACTTCAGAAGCTCAACCTGTACCAAATACAATGGCAGACAGCTCCCACAGCTGCCCATGCCAGCTGCAGCAGGAACAGTAATCAAAACCAATGACTTCACACACCCTGAGAGCAGCCAAGCTTCAGGACAGACCTCCAAGAGCCCCATGAGCTGGAGTTTTGGGAGCAGCCTCGTCAGCCAACATCAAAATAAGGATTTGTATTGGCTCATGCAGACCCCATCAATCCCTCCTTGAGGGAAGTTCAAGCAGGAATGGTGAAAAAGGAGGGAGAATGATGGAAAAAGGCACACGAGAAAAGCAGTGGGATGCTGAGTGTGGCACGTTGGCTGTATGGATGGAGCAGAGGCAGCAGATACAGGGCTGAATTTCTCCAGCTTCAGTAATTAAACTCATCCCCATGAGCACGCAGAGCATTCTGTCAGAATAGACGGCAGAAGTGTTAAGCCAGGACAGATAAAAAGGCTCTCTCATTTATTTAATTGCACGCTTAATGGAAAAGCCAGCAAGCGAGGGCTCTTCATTTACCCACCGCTGTTATCTCCCACAAGAAAAGATCAATTTGCAGTTTTTTCCTTGGACGTCCCTCGAGCTTTGTGCACAGCAAGGGATGGGGCCACAGTGGGAACCAGGGAGTGCAGAGGAAAAAGAAAGGATGTTCCCCAAGCCACATGAGGTTAAGGAGACATTCTTAAAGCCTTTGGTCCACGTAAGCCTGCTGACCACTCTGTGGTTTTCTGGCATCACGCCCCTTGCACGAGCAGCACAAAGCTTCCCTATCCTCCCTGCAGACAGCTCTGTGCTTCCCCAGGGCAGCACCACCTTCTTCTGGCCCGTGCTGATATGCAATGTCTGACTTTGGGCCAAGAGAAGAGAAAGAGTTTCACTTCCTAAAGGACAAAGCTGGTCTGTGGCACAGTGTCGGGAGCCTCAGTGCTCAGCAGAAGTTCTGCACAACCACATGGACTTCTCGCCCATTAAAGAGCTGGTTGGGTGATGCCATGCCAAAGTCTTAAGAGAAAAAGTGGGGAAAGCCTGATAGCCAAACACCAAACATCTCTCCTGTTCTGCAGGGTGGGTGGGAAGGAGACCCTGCGGCATCGCACCCGCGTCTCACTGAGCTGTGACTGTGAACCACATTCTCGTTGACTTGTTCTGAACCAGCTCCCTGCAGACAGAGTTAGCAGCAGTGCAGAGCTCCTCCCCACCGAGATTAGTTATGATTGTCATTCAGGGTGATAATCAAGAACGAAATGAGCTCTCATTGTCTGACTCCAATGCCCTTAACACCCACAAACACACAACGAGCTAAGGAGATTAGAGAGCACGCCATGGCTGCGTTGCAAAATCAACCTTGGAAAGCAAGAGCTGCACTTTAGGTATGGGAGTGTAGAACGGATGGTGAGAAAGGACTGTGAGAGCACAGGAACCCAAAGAAAACCTCCAGATCACACCTTGGGCAGAGCATGGAGCAAGACCCATGTCCCCCAGCCCTGTGCAGGCTGCTCAGCATAACCACAACACAGAGCCTGGAGCCCCGTCTGCCACGGCGCAAAGGACGGGAAACCAGAGCTATTTTTGGAGGCTGTTTTATTGTTTCCTGCTCGACTCACGAGCACTCGGTCTGACTTGTAGGAGCTGGACTTTAATTAATGCCCACGTCCTGCTGAACACACAGGCAGCACAGGGCCGGCGAGCTGACTGAGGCATCGCAGCTAATGAATGCGACAGTCGATACGGGGAGAGGGTGAAAGCCAACCTGAGGGTGCTACAAGATGATCCACGGGGAAATGAGGAAGTGGCCTCGCCCTGGAGATGGGCAGGGAGAGGAAATCCCACTCCTCAGGGAGATGGAACAGGCTGCCCAGAGAGGTGGCAGGGTCTCCTTTTCTGGAGATACTCAAACCCACCTGGATGGGATCGTGCTGGAGAGAACTGCTTCAGGGGATCTACAGAGGTCCCTTCCAGCCCCTACACTTCTGTGCCTCCTTCACAGACTGCATTTTAAGCATCTCCCACAAGGCAGAGCTCCAACCTGGCACTTTGCAATGCATACAGATATTTCCCTGGGTCAATAAGAGCTGTTCTCACGTCGCTCCTCCAGGTGCAGAATTCAGCCCCAAACGCTTCTGCTGCACAGAAAATCAAAGTGGGATGGATTTGGGTCACTGGGAAGAGCCGAATCCCAGCGCCTGCTGCAGGGCACAGCCAGCTCCAGCCCTGCGCTGTCCTTCAGAGCCCGGCAGCAAGACATTCCTGCTGCTGGGAAATCCCTGTAATTAATAAGTAATTGAGCTTAACCAACTCAGCACCAAGTACAAAGGTGTAAAGAACAACGGAGATTGCTCAGCACAGGCAGAACCAACCCAAAGAGCTGCACGGCAATGTGCCTGATGTTGGCCCACAAAATCAACACTTAAGGGATTTTTTAGGAAAGAGAAAGGAGAGGTTTCAACACCCTGAAGCATTTCTATGGGAAGACATTCCCTGTAATTCCTGCAAGGGACAATCAAAGGGTCAGGATCAGGAACCAGCACCAGTTCAACCCCGTCCTCCTGGCGCCCACATGGACCCCAGAGCTGTCCCCGAGCACACTGCTGAGGGGAGAATCCCTGCACACCATAAAGAAAGGGAACCTCAAAACGTCAGCACGGCAGAGATGAAGACAGTATCCCCACACAAAAAGGGTCCTCCAAAGCTCTCAGGTACTCCACTGGCGCAGCACCCCCTGAATTGTTCCTAAAAGTCCCATGTGGGGTGGAGAGGGGCAGCCCCCTATGAGTGCTTCCAGTGCAAGGAACGGAGCACAGCCCCACGCAGAGCCCCACAGGGGGACTCAGAGCTCTCCTTGGGGTGCACAGAGCGCTCCATAATGATCCCCCATGAGACGTGGGAAGTCCCAACCGGCCCTAAATCCCAGCCTCCAACCCTTCACCCATAGCACCCTCCTCTATGAAGCATGGGGAGCCTGAACTGGCCCCATAACTCTCCCCACAGACTCAGTGCAGAAATGGCCCAGACCCCATAACCCATCCTACATGTCCCCGAACTTCAGTGAGGCTCAGTCCTGTCAGGACTCCCACAGACCTCTCAAGACCTCTGTGTAACCCCCTCAGGAACCCTCCTAAAGCCCATCAGAACCCCCGAAGCC